GGAACGTGTCCCCAGGGCCAATTCTGTTATAACATCAATGGCCAGATGGGCTGCTGTTCACTTCCGATTTGCCCGAACGGTCAGCCAGCTGTTCAGTCTTGTGGAATTAATCAGCAGTGCCCAGTCGGCTATACATGTCAAGGATATGGCTGCTGTCCAGTTCAAATTCCGACGTGCCCGAATGGCCAGCCGGCTATACAACCTTGCACAGACAGCACTATGTGCCCTACAGGATATACGTGTCAAAACGGCGGTTGCTGTCCCATGCCTTTGTGTCCAAACGGACAACCCGGGGTAAGCACTTGCAGCTACGGTCAGCCATGTCCAGAAGGTTACACCTGCCAAAATGGAGTATGCTGCCAAATGATAATAACGCCAAGTCCGGTGCCTGTGTGTCCCAATGGACAACCAGCAGTCAGCACTTGCATCTACGGACAACAGTGTCCTCCAGGATACAGCTGTTACAACGGAGCTTGTTGTCCCGTTCAAGTGCCTACCTGTCCGAACGGTCAGCCATCGGTCGGCACTTGCACCTATGGTCAACAATGTCCCAGCGGATATACGTGCATAAACGGCGCGTGTTGTCCTTCCCCCGTGCCACCTGCGGTTTGTCCTGATGGAAGTGTGCCAACACAGACCTGCATCAGTGGCTCCTACTGTCCTACAGGTTACGTATGTTTGAGTGGCTACTGTTGCAGACAAGGTGTTCAACCGGTCTGCCCAGTTGCTACAATTCCGATCTGCATATGCGCTACCATTGGGCTTGCGTGCCCGCCTCAGAGTACCTGCAACGCCGGCGTTTGCTGTGCATCAGGTAATCACTTGTTTCGTTACTTTAAAGGTTTTGCAGCTTCACATTGTGATTAGTACCTCAGTTTCTTGGAAGTCAAAACCTAAATCAAAATATAGATTTATTAATTAATTAGAGAATCTAAAAGAGCGTCGAAATGAACAAAAATCGGCCTCACCTAACAATAGTCTCTGCAGGCCTTTCTCATCCATTCTGTTTCACTTTTACCTTCCAATTTACCTCGTTTCATTTGACTCTGCTGTTGATAATTAACAGTGAGTGGATAAAAGGAATAGCAAACGATTTTTACCTTTGCCTTAGTTTTGGTCATCATTGCTTTAACAGAGTCAAATGAATGTTTCTGTAAAGAGAACAAATGAACGCGATATGCAGGAAGATTATAGGCCATCTGGTTTAATGATTAATAGCATAAGAAACAACAGGTCTTTTAATTCATGTTTTCCACGACGCAGCTTTAACAAGGCTAAGGAAGCTGCTTACGATATACAGTCATTACGGTAATGAACAATTACACACCACTGTTGACCACAAATGACATTAGATGGTACGTGCAGATGAAATGGTCAGGAAGTAACAGAAGAATATCATGACGTC